GCAGCCCGTGGCCCCGGAGGCCCTTGCTGGGGACAGCCACGTGAGAAGACGAGAGGGAAGGGGGTCTCAGGCGACCCTTGTGGTCCTCTGCCTTTCAGAGGCCCCCACGGAGCCCCTGCTGCGGCACACAGGAGAGCTCACGGGGGGGAGGGGGGCCAGACGGACGCGGTCCCCCTGCATTCCACTTACAACAGAGAAATGACGAGTGGGGGGCCAGCTGCCCATCCTGCTTCTAGCTGCGGTGGCAACAGTGTCCCCATATTGAGGGCCAACGTGCACCAGGCTCTTCCAGTGCCGGCTGCTTCATGAGCCATGTTCCCAGGTAAGACTGTACCTGCTGGCGCTCGGGCCCACTGACCAGGCACAAGGACCCTGGGCCACCCACCTGCGTGCAGGGCCACTGCCAACCCCCGCTCCCCACCCTGGCCCCTCCACCCACCAGGACCGACAGCGCAGGCACCTCAGCCCCAACAAGATCTCTGTACGCCCCAGACACCAACCAACCTCGGGGTCCTGGAGACAGAATCCCCCAGCTCCACCCACCGGGAGACCCGCGGTCTCCCCAAGCTGCAGCGTGGCTGAGTTTGAGCATTTCTTGCTGCGGGTCCCAGGGGACCAACTTTTGATGGCTGCTCTTCACAAGCATCTGGCCCGAATGGGTGTCCAGCCAGATAAGGTGGACATTCCCCCCTCCCCGCACCCCCCCCCTCCCCGCCACCTCTGCTCTTACAAGCCTGCCTGTGAGGAGCTGAAGCTGCTGCGCGCAGGCAGCCGGAGACCTCTCAGGGGCGGGGGCTGGTGCTCAGACCCCAGTCCAAGAGGTTTTGTGCAGCGAACCCGCGCACAGCGCCGGCAGACAAAAGCGCGAAGAGTGGAGCTCTCTTTCTAGTGGACCTTGCAAATTAATAGAAAGCAGGACACTCAAGCACACAAGCTGCTCAAAGCCAGGGCTGAGTGGGCAAGGAGCAGCACCTCCCCGCTCTCCCTCGGAGCCACGCACGGGGCCAGGCTCGCACAGCTCCATGAGCACCCCACCTTCCCGACCCCCCCCCCATGCCTCCCACTTTGCTGAGGAGCTGAGCCAACGCGCTCAGGCTCCCCGAGCTAGTACATGGTCGGGCTGGAGAGCGAGTCCCCCTGAGGCAGCGTGCTGCGTGCAGTGCGCAGCACGGGCCATCGTCCCGGGCGAAGAGGGGGAGCAGATTCCTCCCAGACCCCGTTCCCGCCGTGGGCGCCGCATCACGCAGCCCGCTCCAGCGGCCCCACCCCAAAGAAGAGCCTCCAGTTCAGGATCGGAACCGGCAAGGGACACCTCGCCCCAACCCACACGTGCCCTCGATGGCTGGGAGTAGGAATGACATTCTCGTTCCCCGGGGGCACGCCGTCAGGACGACCCCCAGTCACCCTGTGGGTCCCAGGCAGGAAGGCTAAGCCGGACCACGGCTTCAGGGGGAGGGCGGGCGCTGCCGCCCCCACGCCCCGTCGGCACGCGTGGGCAGGGCGGCACGGAGGAGCGCACGTCCCCCCTGACACCCAGCCGGCCCCTTCCAGCCGAGAGGGACCCTCCCCAGAGTCTGTGTGTCCCCGAAGCAGGAAGTCACACCCTCAACCCCGCCTCCGAGATGGGGTGCGTTAACCCCGGGCCACAGCTTTCCTCGTTCCAGTCACGGAGGGCAGCCTCGCCATTTTCCTTCCATTTTTCAAAAAGGGACGTCAGCCTTTCCAGCAGCTGGTGGTTTTAAGCTTTGCCCACTTGCATCCCCTCCCAGTTAAGAGGCCCCGGGATGACCAGGAGCATGAACAAAAAAACCCATTGCTCAGAGATCAGCCCAGAAGCTTCTCGAAGCCGGGGAGGGCAGGCAGAGGCAGAAATGTCCCCACAGGGGACGGCAGGGGACAGAGACAGTGCCCCAGGAGTGTGCAGCTAAAACACTAACACAAATCAAATGCCAGCCGGGGCTGGAATGGACGAAATCAGTTACACCCCCATTAGCCCGGACTTTGTAGAAGGTTCCGAGGTCCCCAAGGCACCTGTTTGCCAAGCCTCACCTACCAAGTAGCTTGACTTTCTTAGAGTCTTCCATAATCTCTTGTACGTCTGGGGATAAGGAAAAAATAGGACGAGTTAAAAAAGAAAAGAAAAGAACAAAACTCCATTAGCAGAAAGAGTTTTATTTCAATTTTGAACATAAGACCGATCACATACACGAAAGGCAAAGCCAATATTTTTTCCTCGTGAGCCCACACAATTCCAGGTTGGTAGAAGAGATGTGGGGTCTATGCCACAAACCGCAAACGCACGGGCCTCCTTCCCAGGACACTGGACAGACGTCCCCTGCAGCCAGCTCTGAGTTCTGGAGACAAGCTCAGGCACCTCCCTCCTGTGCGGGTGTCTCTTCCCCCGCAGCGAACTGCTGGGCAGGGTCCCGAGGGTGTGCGATCTCCACGTCACACCGCCTTGAAAGCATTGGGTCTTATCAGACACGCCAACCCCGAATCTCTACAGCCCTAAGACAAGTAGATGTCTCTGTTCAAGCAGGAGTTTGGTTTCTAGACGCTGTGAAGTCTCGAAGCAGCCGTATCAGTATCAAAACTTCTGGACTGGCTCTCGGGTTCTGACTTCGTCCTTCTCTCCCAGTGGAGGCTGACCGTCCACACAGACGGTCGCTGTCGCTGGGCCAGTGCTGCCCTGGGTTCCGATCCTGGCGGCCACCACCACACACAGCCCTGGACAGGCGCCCAGCGGGAGCCTGTCCCGCTCTGGGTTCCTGGTCCACAAACAAAAGGCATTCTTCCCTGGCCCCAGTGCCGCCCCCAGAACCGTGCAGACCACAGGCAACAGGCAACGGGAGACTCCAGGGGTATGCACAGCTTTTATTAAAACACTGTTGTAATGACAATAAACACAACTAGCGTATCAAAGTCATGACTTTGTGGACATCAACGTTTCCTTCCAAAATAAATGTGTGTTTAAGTATAAACAGCGAGTGGACAAAAGAAAATATTGATAATGGCCCGGGCCACCACGGCAGAACGCTGGCAAGCTGGGGGCCCCCGAAGGGCCCTAAGGCCTCCTTGTTCCCGGGCCGGGGCTGGCGGGGGCCACCTCCAGGCTGCTTCTCTTCGAGAGGCAGAGGTACTTGTGCAGACGCCTGAAACTCACAGAACTAAAAAAAATATATATCCAGAGTTTAGGCTCTGGTGGCAGCTCCGTCACGTGCGGGCCATGTGACCCCGGGCGTGCCAATTTAACCTCCTGAGCCTCGGTTTCCACACCTGTAAAATGGGGATCAGGGGGCTGTAGGGGATTAAATGCAACAAGGCTCTGAACGTGTCCCGTAAACTGCAACACTCCAGGAGTATGAGGGGCCGCGCTTCTCAGTTACACAAGCGCGCTGGCCGGGCGCGTAACCCAGGCTGCCCTCAAATTCCCTGTAATCTGGAGACTGGCCGGTGCGGCCCTTCTCTTTCAAGTATTCCCAATAAAACTCCAATGTTATGTGCAGTAATCCTAGAGTTCTGATCTGGAACAGAAAAAAACAAAAAAACAAAAAAACAAAAAAAAAAAACCCCACCCCAGCCGCCCAGATCATTCCTGGAAACACATTTGGTTTCAGGGCTTTTACCCAGTAAAATCCGCCCCCCCCACCCCCGCCCCGCAAGACACTTCCCCATCCCCAGAAATCAGAATTTCTCCTGCTGCCGAAACCCAGGTTCGACCTATTTTCTCTTCTAGAAAGAAAACGAGGGGGGCTCGAAGGCGACTCTTGGGAGGAACCAGCAGCTTTGTGCTGGAAGCCCCAGTCAACGCCTGTTGCCGCGCTAACATGTGTTCTGAGTAAAACTGCGCGCAGCATTAAGTAGAGCCCGATTTCCGAAGCTGGGGGCTCCAAACGGCTGATTCAGCGTTTTCAGAAACAAAGTGTTCTGGGCCTGGCCTTGTAAACAGCAGCACCCAGAAAGTTGTGCAATGACGCGTATTTACTCCCGAGCGCTACTTGTTCGGGTCTTTTCTTTGCATCTCTTGAATGAAACTGGGCACCACGTTTGGAAGAAAGCATTCTTTCGAGTGCACGGGCCACACGGATCCAGGAGACTGTCCCGGTCCCCTGTGGCTCCCTACAGTTCCCAACGTTTCCGTCAAGGCAAGCGACGAAAACTTGGGTTTTTCTTTCAATCCCAAGAGGAGAGGAACATAATAAAAAGTAGAGAATACCCTAATTTCCATACGGCACACGCTGCAGGGCCTTCTCCAGGCGGGCGTTTGGAGAGGCAATCGGGGAAGGCGGAGAGTTGCATCAGAAATTTCCTTCTGCAAACCGCACGGCTCTTATCGCATTTCCACGGCTGGCGGGCGGCTAATCCGCGAGCCCTCCAGTCGGGGTTAGGCCCCAGTGGCGGGTAACGGGGTCACTAACGGAACCAAAAGAAATGTGTGTGTGTGTGTGTGTGTGTGTGTGTGTGCGCGCGCGCGCGTGTGTGTGCGCGCGCATAACCCGAGGCCGCGCCGCTCTGGGCTGAGGAGCGTCTGGGCGGGCGGGCGCGGGCGCACCAGGGGTTGCAGGAGCGCGGGCGCCCATTCTCGGGGCGGCCCGGGAGCGCGGCCTGAGCCCTGACGGCGCGGCCCCCACCCAGCCCGGCCCCGGTCTCCACCCCGAGCTGCCGGCGTCCGACGGGATGGTTCAGGGAGGCACCGCCGGCTCCACGGCCCCCCGGGGTCCGACACCCGCGCGCGCAGCCCGGCCCGCTCACCGCGCCCGCGCCCGCGCCCGCGCCCGCAGCCCGCTCCCCGCCTCCGCGCGCCGCCGGCCGAGCCCCGGGCGCCGCAGCCCCCGGCCCTCAGGCGACGCCCTTCCGCCCGCCGCGCCCCCGCGGCGCCCGGCGTCCCCAGCCCGGCGGCAGCGCGCAGACAATGACGGCGCGGGGACCGCCCGCCCGCCTGGCCCCGCCGCGCCGACCACAAAGTAACTTGCGGCCGCGCTCCCCGCCCAACTTCGTACCTGCGCGGCGCCTCTCCCAGCCGTCTCCGCGTGGCTGCCAGCGACCCTCTTCCCGGTCCGGGCGGGCGAAGCGCGCGGGGCGTCCCGGGCCCCCGAGGGGCTGCGCGCAAACTTTGCTCCGCGCGGGTGTCCGCGGCCTCCGAGCGCTGCGCCTGCTGCCGGCGCGCCGCTCGGTCCTGCCAGCCTCCTCACGGCCTCCCCACCCCCTCGATGGGCTTTAAACTGGCCCGGCCCCGCCCGCCGCCGCCGCCTCCGCCTCCGCCGCCTCCGCCTCCTCCCCCGGCCGCTTTTCCTGCTCCTCCTCCCGCCGCCGCCGCCCGGACCGCTCGCCGCCAGCGCGGGCGGAGCCGGGGCCCAGGCGCAGGGCGTGGCGCGGGCGCGGGCGCGGGGCCGGACCCTCTAGCGGCAGCTGCCCGGGCCGGGCGCGGGGCGGGCAGCGGGGCGTGGGCGCCCGACCCGTCGTCCTGCCTCCCGGGACCCCCGGACGCGGGCTCCCAACGTCCCAGGCCCGGGCGCCAACGGAGGACACATCGGACCTATCCTAAGAGCGAATTTGCAAGCGAATTCTCTGAAACTCCCAAGTCCTCACTGTGCAGCCCAGATCCTGCATCCAGGCGCCGCGGAAGAGCAAGGCGCAGGAGCTGTGGCGCTAGCCCGGAGAGGGGACCTGGGTCTGCGCTCTCTGCCCCGGGCCGGTCGGGTCTGGGGCCTCCCCTCTCTGAGTCTCAGTTTCCCCGTCTGCGTGTGAGAACTGAGTGCTTGCGGGTGGAGTGGGGAGGCCCTACATGAGTCCTGAACACCAGCGAGCCTCCTGTCCTTGTCTTTGAAAGGGACTCACAGGCGGCCTGGGGGTTAAATAAAGTTATACCTTTGACACCCAGTGACTGGCACATTCATGGAAGCCATTGTCGTTAATACGATCGCTAATGTCTCTGCAGAGTCCACATTACAATGCAAATAGGATGATAATTATGCCTTTTCCTGGGTCTTGATGTTGGAAAAAACAGCTGCAACAATAACTTACCTTCACTAAGCACGCGTTTCTGCCGAACACTGACCAGTCGCTCGTCCATCCAAGCCCCGCTCCGGCTCTCCCGGCGGTGGCTGGGGGGCGTCCCTGCGCAGACCAGCGGGCTGATCTCGCAGATGTTGAACAACTTGCCCCAAGTCACGTACCTGGTCAGTGCGCAATATGGATGATGCCAAAGTCCCTTTTGGGCACTTTTTGTAGTTCCTGCTTTTCACACCTCTGGGTGGAGATATTGATGGAAGGTCACCCTTTTCTGTGACTAAACTCTGGCCCTCCTGAAAATGCCTCCCCCGCGGGTCCAGGCTGAGAACACCAGGAGAGGGAGACCTTGAGAGGACCGTGGGAGGCACCCTCCCCGGACGTCGAGACGCAAAGGGCTCGAGAGGACACTCCCGGAGAGAAGACTCGACTTCGGAGCACGTGTCCCGAGTGAAGCAGCTCGAACCTTCCAGCTTGGCTGAAGGCCCCCCTCAGCACCCCACACCTTGCGTGGGCCCGAAAGCAGGACCGTCTAAGTGTTTGCAAAGCACCTGGGTACAGAGACGTCTGCGTCATTTTTTCTGAGTCATTTGTCGACGGGCTTAATGCACTGTGGCCACTTCCCACGATATACTTTGATGCCTTTCTGAAGAGAAGGGATATTAACTTCCATAACCTCAGTACAGTCACCAAATTCATAAACTCGTATCGTTAGAAGGTGTGTATCTAATCTAGGTCCCTATTTTGTTGCCACTCGATCTGATACTGTCCTTTACGGTATCTCTTTGCGCTCATCACAGGATCCGGTGTAGGAAGGGAGAGGGATCACGCTTAGCTGTCTCAAAAGATAGGGGTTTCAAACCCAACGACTGTCCAAGAAGGGATCAAAATAAATGTCCGCATGTGTTCTACGGACAGGGGTCGGCAGGAAGCGCGGGACGGTTGGCGCAGGTTCCCCGCGGGGCTCGGCTCCGTCCGGACTCCACCACGGCTCTGCTTCCCGGCAGGGCCCACCCGGGACCACGTTCCACACCGAGGGAAAACGCGCCGCTGCAGCTAGGCGTGGGGACAGGAAACGGGGTTTGTGACAGTGAGGAACCCAATTATCCAAATGAGTGAGACGCTTCCTTCAGCTGAAGGGAGCGAATTCGACAGACACTAATTATAATTAGCAGTGAATGGATGGATCCTTGTCTCCCCTGCTGACTCCACACATGTGACAAGGGACACTGATTGCCGTTCACCGGTGTCGTCCCAGCAGGGGGAGTGCCTGGCCCTGAGCGGACACCGGTGACAGAGGCCATCATTGGCAAGGAAGAGCGTACCAACAAACTCATCAGTAGAGCTCATGCATGAGATGCTCCAAGCGTCTGGCACCGTCTACAACGCTGCCGGCAGCCTTGGCGAATGGAGTGCGCACAGGGGAACGGCACCCTGACACTGAACCGCTCTGGCCAGGCGTGGCCCCTGCCTCTGCTCACATGGGCCAAGACCGGTCCCATGGCCCAGCTGGCCAGGGGGGAGGGTGGGAGCCCAGGCCCCGGCCGGCCGGCACGCAGAGCTGGGGACCCGTGATCACAGGCACCAAGGACTGCCGGCCCACCCCAGCCCTCCCGGGGGGCCGGGATTGATCGGCAGCTGTGTCCCATCCTAACGCCTGCCTCCACGCCCATAGGCACCTGCTCACCCTGCAGACCACTGGCCCGCCCCCACCCTACAGATTTCACCCCTGCCCTTTAATCAGACTCCCCCATGACCCACAATGCACCAGGCAACCCCTTGAATCTCTGAACAGAAGAATCACAGGCTGCCCCAGAGCGCAAGTGGGGAGCCTGGCGATGTCCGGAAAGTGGTGGCCACACCCCAGCAGAGTCCTGGGGTGCCCAAGACGCAAAGAGCCGCAGAGGCAGCGGAGGGAAGGCCTGGCAGGCAGAGGGAGAGGCGTGCACCGCGCCATGCAAGAGTTCGCTGGGCGGTTACCTTCCATCCCCGGGGGCTGGAGCTGGGGCTGGGGCTGGGGGGCACGGGGCAGGCAGGGGCTTGGCAAGCAGCCAGGCCGGAAAGGTCAGAGGGGACTTCACTGCCACGCACAGGTGTCTTCCCCTTACCCCAAACGTGATGAGAGGGTGCAGGTCTGCCTGTGGTCAGGGGGCTGACTGGCACAGTTTCTCCTCCGCCGGGCCGTCTGGAGTGCCCCCATGAGACGCCTGCCCCGGGTCCCTCCCTGGCAGCTGGTTTGCTGGGGGCGGCACTGGGCCCGCGGGTTCCCGTTCTGTGCGGCGGCTGCCGGGCAGAAGGGCCGCCCCTGGAGGTCGCTGGAACCCAGGGCCCAGGGGAGGGGCAGCGGAGCCGGACGGGCTCCCCACGTGAAGGGAGGCGCCAAAAATGAGCCCCGAAGGGGCACCCCCTGTCTCCTGGCCGCCGAGGCTCCTGTGTCAGACCTCCGTGGGGGTACATTTCCCTCACCATGTCTCATACCCGCTCCCCCGTCCCTGAAATAGCGTCACTCAAACTGGCTTTACAGCCAAAACAGGGACTCACGGAAGGATGCTCCTTAAGTCTGATTTATTGAGATCGCATTTGCCTACAAGAGAGAAGTCACACTGTGTGGGGTTTGGGAAAGGTATTCAGCTGCGTAACCATGAAGTCCGTGAAGACACAGAACAGCTTCCTGACCCCAGAAGGTTCCCTCTTGCCTGCTTGCGATCTGTTTGGCCCCCACACCCTGAAGCCACTGTGCTCTCTGACTTTTCAGGATTGCCACATGCAATATCTTACAAACATTACTTAATGAAATACATCCGCAGCTCCGTACACTTGAGGGCGGTAATCCCCGGAGTTCCAGAGCTAATAGAATCCAAAATAAAAACAGAAGTACACGATGGGCAACATTCAGTTTGCACCGCAGAACATCCAGCCTTGGCACCACGTCCTCGGCTTGTGCGGAGGTGAGCGAATGTACGTCTCTGAAGGCGGCGTCTTCAAGTTCATGTTTAAATTGTGAAAACCTGAAGCTACTTCAATTAGTCAGCATGCATTCTTTAAGAGCGTTTACCTGCCTGCGGGTGGTGAGAGATGACAGAAAATAGAACAGCTAATCCCAGAGATGTGCTTGAAGAAGGATCCCCCCGGGCACTGGGTGACGTCGAGACATGGGTCCAGGCGGAGGGTGTGTGAGCGAGTGCTGGCAGCCACTCTGCGCCCGGCGCTCCCGGTCAACATGCGGGAATGTGTCCGCTGCACAGAGAACTGTGTTTGATAGTCACGTGTGGTCTGTCTTGTTTTTATTCACATGTAAACCTCACTCAGGGTCATCACTGCTTAGAACTCGTCCAAGTTAGAGATTGAGTGATGGCGTGTAACAGATTTTTCCAAGGGAAACCCAGTGTTTTCCCTTCTTCTCCTGACTTTTTATTTCATCGTTTCTTTCTTCCCCTTCATTCTCAAAACAAGGGCCATTTCTTAAGCACCAAGGACCGGTGACAGGTGGGTGATACATAGTTCGTAGAATACACAGTAGCAGACCCTGTACATGAAGAGTTGAATTAATCCTAGCAATAAATTTGGAGGTAATATTATTGTCTCAGTCTTATAGTCAAGGAAGTCAACTTGGAAGCCACACGACTTCTCAAGATGACTTATCAGTAAATAACTAATAAATGGCGGCATGTCTGACCCAAGACCTACCTTTTTACATTAGTTCCGTCTCCACTGTCATTTCTCGTTGTTTTATTGTTTTCCTAGTAACCCGCTATTTAAATGTATGGCCTAACAGGATTTCTTTTTTTCACACTTCTGTTCTCATTTATTTGGGGTCCGGTGTGTGTCCCCGGGTCCAGTGTGCAAGAAGATATTAGATCCTTAATGTATTCAAGCTAGGGGTTTTAGCCAGCACGCCCCCCGCCCCCCCCCACCGCACCGCACCATCCACGAGGACGGAGTCTGAGGACCTGGCTGGGGGGCCAGATGGGAGCTGAGCCCACCCGGACCAGAGTCACCAGGGGAGGGACAGATCCAGACACCGGAAGTGGGAGGAGCCGGCTAAGGACGGAGCTGGGCCAGAGCAGACACAGCCAGGCCGTGGACCCAGCGTCCTGCAGA